CTCTCGGTGTCTCTCTCTGTGTCTCTCTCTGTGTCTCTCTCTGTGTGTGTCTCTCTCTCTCTCTGTGTCTCTCTCTGTGTCTCTCTCTCTGTGTCTCTCTCTGTGTCTTTCTCTCGTCTGTGTCTCTCTCGGTGTCTCTCTCTGTATTTGTCTCTCTGTGTCTCTCTCTCTGTCTCTCTCTCTCTGTATCTTTGTCTCTCTGTGTCTCTCTCTGTCTCTCTCTCTGTATCTGTGTCTCTCGGTGTCTCTCTCTGTGTCTCTCTCGGTCTGTGTCTCTCTCGGTCTGTGTCTCTCTCTGTCTGTGTCTCTCTCGGTCTGTGTCTCTCTCGGTCTGTGTCTCTCTCTGTGTCTCTCTCGGTCTGTGTCTCTCTCTCTGTATCTGTGTCTCTCTGTGTCTCTCTCTGTGTCTCTCTGTGTGTGTGTCTCTCTCTGTGTCTCTCTCTGTTTGTGTCTCTCTCTCTCTGTCTCTCTCTGTGTCTTTCTCTGTGTCTCTCTCTGTATCTGTGTCTCTCGGTGTCTCTCTCTGTGTCTCTCTCTTTGTGTCTCTGTCTGTCTCTCTCTCATCTGTATCTGTGTCTCTCGGTCTGTGTCTCTCTCGGTCTGTGTCTCTCTCTGTCTGTGTCTCTCTCGGTCTGTGTCTCTCTCTCTGTATCGGTGTCTCTCTCTGTGTCTCTCTGTGTCTCTCTCTCTCTGTGTCTCTCTCTGCGTCTCTTTCTGTGTCTCTCTCTGTGTCTTTCTCTCTGTATCTGTGTCTCTCTCTGTGTCTCTCTCTGTGTCTCTCTCTGTGTGCGTCTCTCTCTGTGTCTCTCTCTGTGTGTCTCTCTCTCTCTTTCTGTGTCTCTCTCTCTCTGTATCTGTGTCTCTCTGTGTCTCTCTCGTCTGTGTCTCTCTCTCTGTATCGGTGTCTCTCTCTGTGTCTCTCTGTGTCTCTCTCTCTCTGTCTCTCTCTGCGTCTCTTTCTGTGTCTCTCTCTGTGTCTTTCTCTCTGTATCTGTGTCTCTCTCTGTGTCTCTCTCTGTGTCTCTCTCTGTGTCTCTCTCTGTGTCTCTCTCTGTGTCTCTCTCTCTGTGTCTCTCTGTGTCTCTCTTTCTGTGTCTCTCTCTGTGTGTCTCTTTCTCTCTCTGTGTCTCTATCTCTCTGTATCTGTGTCTCTCGGTGTCTCTCTCTGTGTCTCTCTCTGTGTCTCTCTTTCTGTATCTGTGTCTCTCGGTGTCTCTCTCTGTGTCTCTCTCTGTGTCTCTCACTCGTCTGTGTCTCTCTCGGTGTCTCTCTCTGTATCTGTCTCTATGTGCCTCTCTCTGTATCTCTCTCTGTATCTGTGTCTCTCTCTGTGTCTCTCTGTCTCTCTCTCTCATCTGTGTCTCTCTCCGTATCTGTCTCTCTGTGTCTCTCTCTCTCTCATCTGTGTCTTTCTCTCTCTCTCTGTGTCTCTCTTTCGTTTCACTACATCTCCTGTTTATTCATCACATCTGTCATCTCTTTAAGAGTTTACAAATCGAAACGGGGTGGGAGGGGGGGGAGGGGTGGGCCCCCCTGTACCCCCCCCCCTCCGGTGATGGCTCACTCCCGGAGGAGCGGTGGCACAGTGGTTAGCGCACTACGCTGTGATTCAAACGGCCTAAGTTCGATTCCCAGCCACGTGATCCCAACCAACCCCCCGTCGTCACCCCACCTGCTTGACCATATTTCACCACTCTGAGACCTCCTTTACCAGTGGAAAAATATAATGATAGGTTTTTACCCTTTCAACTGGTACAAAAACTGACACCTTTATACAAGGCATCATAAAAATGTCGATTTAAAGCGTTCGTGACTGCAGGGATTCATCTTCTTGGTTCTTTCGGTAAAGTCACAAAAATAAAACATATTTTATTATGTATTATTTTTATTATTTTATTACTTCCCTTCTACGTGACTTTACCGAAAGAACCAAGAAGACAAAACATCATGTTTGCAATAACCACAACACAAGCAGTCAACATGCAAACAAGGACAGTGCATATCATTATCATCATCAGAGTTGTTTATTTTTGTTTGCATTTTGACTGCTTGTGTTGAGGTTATTGCAAACATGATGCCTTGTATAAAGGTGTCAGTTTTGCACCAGTTAAAAGGGTAAAATCATATTACTATATTTTGCCACTGGTAAAGGAGGTCTCATAGTGGAAATGCTTACCCCGAGCTCTCAATACTCTGATAGTGCGCTGTCTTTGAGTTGTGAGCCTTTTGGCGTCATCTGGTCCAACACCAATGGAGACTAGGCTCTAAGAAAAGCTGTCTCGGGTGTGGACCAATCAACTTCAAGGACAGTGCATATCATTATCATCATCAGAGTTGTTTCTTTTTGTTTGCATTTTGACTGCTTGTGTTGAGGTTATTGCAAACATGATGCCTTGTATAAAGGTGTCGGTTTTTGTACCAGTTGAAAGGGTAAAAACCTATAATCATACTTCACCAGTCTGTGCTGATCAGCGTGCTGAGGTGGGGTCACATTGTTTCCCACGATCGCCACGGCGTTCATCCAGGAGTGGATCGATAAAAGGGCTCAACGGCAATTGCTATTATTATTATCGAAGCAATATTCCGTGTGTCTATGCACCTACGTTCATATCTACACACGCCCATCCATAAGCAGCATGTAAATACATACATAGAGGTCTTGCACAAGACATTGTCGATACGTACTCCTTAGAGTGTATCATGTTTACATGAACATGCACAGCACATGCAAAGATCCCCCAGGTAGCCATAATATATTCTTTTGGGGCAAGTGCTGTTAGCGAGTAGCACCTATGAAGGCCGGCACTGTGGTACATGAGGGGGGTGGGTGGCCAGCACCACGCCCGGCCGCCTTTGTCTCCCCAGTGCTAGCGATGTTTACACACCGCACCGTTTAATCGTTTGAGGCTGAGTCGGCCTAGGGGAGGCCCAGGACCGGTTCATATAATCGTCACCGGTGTGGGACGTGAGCGGGAATCGCAGCGTAGCGCTAACCGCTGCACTACCGTTCCCACACACTCGTGTACACGTGCACACACGTGTACACACACGT